ATTAGATATATGATTTTGACAATGTTCATCTCTATGAATTCTAATAGCTTCGGAAATAATATAGCTAATGATTCCAACATCTCCTTTGGCACGCATAAGATTAGAAGCTCAAATAAACAATCTCCAAACTTAGGATCATTGGGATTCATCTTATTCAAAGCAATATACTTATGAAGAATCTCATCTAAGTTTTTCAAGGAATAGTCCGGAAATTGTTCCTCAAGAAATCTCCATATAGTATACGCACAATCAAGAGTTGGCAAGTGACCAATCAAATTTCTAGGCAAACCTCTAGTGATAAGACTAATAGTTCTAAGATTGTGAATCATGTCAAGAGACTCATCATGGGTAGGATGCAAGGGATCAACAAGGGGTTCACAAGGAGTAGTAATGTACTTGTTCAATGATATTCATGAAAAAATCCAAGCATCTCATTTTTCCACTCACTAAAGAACTCTCCATCAAGCATAGGCACTCTACATCTAAGACTCCACAACGTAGACTCATCCATGTTCCTCCAATGGTGATTAAACCAAAGCAATGGAGACCAAAGCTCTAATACCAATTGAAAGGATCGAGAAGAGGTGTCTAGAGGGGGGGTGATTAGACTCTCAACAAATAAAGGTGGCAGTTTTTAAGTTTTTCAAGTTGAGGTTGGAAATTAGCACAATATCAAACATTCACAATACAATTCAAGCAAGCATGCAAAGAGTATATGAGCAGCGGAAAGTAAAACATGCAACTTGCAAGAAAGTAAAGGGATGGGATTGGAGTGTGCAAATGCAATTGGAGACATGAAGATTTTTGGCGTGGTTCCAATAAGTGGTGCTATCGTACATCCACGTCGGTGGAGACTTCAACCCACGAAGGGTAACGGTTGCGCGAGTCCACGGAGGGCTCCACCCACGAAGGGTACACGAAGAAGCAACCTTGTTTATCCCACCATGGCCATTGCCCACGAAGGACTTGCCTCACTAGGGTAGATCTTTAGAAGTAGGCGATCTCCTTGCCCTTACAAACTCCTTGGTTCAACTCCACAATCTTGACGGAGGCTTCCAAGTGACACCTAACCAATCTAGGAGACACCACTCTCCAAAAGGTAATAGATGATGTGTTGATGATGAAATCCTTGCTCTTGTGCTTCAAATGACAGTCTCCCCAACACTCAACTCTCTCTCACAGGTTTGGCTATCGTGGAAAGTTGATTTGAGTGGAAAGCAACTTGGGAAAGGCTAGAGATCAAGATACTTATGGTTGGAATGGAATATCTTGGTCTCAACACATGAGTAGGTGGTTCTATCTCAGAAAATGAATGCTGGAAGTGTAGGCATGTTCTGATGGCTCTCCTCACGAATGAAGAATGGGTGGAGGGGTATATATAGCCTCCACACAAAATCTAGCCGTTACACACAGATTTCCAAACTTGGTGGGACCGAATGGTAAAACTCAGTCAGACCGATTCTGGTCAAAATGTGAATGTTAGAGTTTTCGGTGGGACCAACAAGGTCAACTCGGTGGGACCAATGTGCAGGGGTTAGGGTAAAACCTCAACTCGGTATGACCGATTACACAAATTCGGTGGGACCGATTTCGGTAATAAGCAAACTAAGTATTAGTCAAGCAAACTCGGTGGGACCGACTGAACAAACTAGGTGAGACCGAAATTGTTGCAATAGGTCACAGAGAATTTGCAAGTCCATCTCGGTGAGACCAAGATCCCATCGGTGAGACCGAACTGATTAGGGTTTGGCAGTGGCTGTATAAGATGAACTCGGTGGTGCCGGATATATCAAATCGGTGGGGCCGAGTTTGACTTTTAGGTTTAGGACATATCTGGATATGAGAAAGTGGTTGAGGGATTTGGAGCATGTCACTAAGCACTTTGAGCAAGCTAGCCATTAAGCAACACCTCATCCCCTTTTAATAGTATTGGCTTTCCTATGGATTCAATGTGATCTTGGATCACTAAAAGTGAAAATGCAGAGTCTTGAGCTTTTGCCAATGTTTGCCCTTAGCATCTTGAAGGGTTTCCACATCTTCTTGTCCATGTCCATGCCACTCCAATGTTGAACTTATCTGAAATATACTAGATAGAAACATTAGTCCAACAAGAGATATGTTGACATTAATTACCAAAATCACCCAGGAAGCACTTGTGCTTTCAATCTCCCCCCTTTTTGGTAATTGATGACAACATACATCAAAGCTTTTAGATAAAGATATAAGGAAATAGTAAGTAAAGCTTTGGTAATACATGCAACATGCATTAGCTCCCCCTGCATGTATGCAATCATGTGATGATGGATCATAAGAATATGAGAATGCATAAACATGACAGGCCAAGCAATGAGTTACATGTTTCTTGGCTATATGCATCAGAGCAAATGATATGGATGCTGGAAATATACCTTTCAAGTTCATGAATTTTTCTTGCAAACAATATGTACCACAGCAAGAGGTCTTCATGCACATGAGTGTGATGCATATACTTACCTTGTGGTCTTGACTAGCTTTGAAGGAGATGTACCTGGGTAAACAAGGTTAGATAACACAAGAACATCTACTAGACAGAGCAAGAACAGGAGATCACAAGAATACCAAGATTTGGGATGACATGTTGAGAGTGAGTACTAGGTACTCTATTTAGTTATAGACATGTCCCCAAGAATAAAGATATCCAATAAATTCCAAAGATTTTCTTTCCTTAGGACTGAGCTCTCTCCCCCTGAATCTGACATAGATAATGAGAGAAGATGGGGAAAGAAAATAACCAGAGCAAGATAGAATTATACCATATATTATCATGCTATCATGTCTTTCCCCTCTTGAAGACATGAGACAACTTTCCTCTTAAGAATGAAAACGTTAGGAGTGCATTCTCCCTTATGTGATAAGCTTTGATGTGCTCTCTCTCCCCCTTTGACATCAATTTCCAAGAAGGGACTTCTGGAGCATGTGTCAAGTAGGTTTTTTGGGATACAAGAGCTGTTTTTTTTGGATACATGAGCTGATCGAGTTGCTCTGAGTTGGAGTGATAGTGCTTTTTATTTCCCAAACACATGAGCTAAGTTTTTTTGAGGATAGTTACTCTTAGTCGAGCGTTTTTCTTTAGTGATACGGAACTGTTGGAGTTGCTCTTACCCGAGAGGATACGAAAATTGTTGGCATAGCTCTTAGATCTTTTGGTTGTTTAGGGGGGGGGGTATTGATCAAATGGCACTTGAAGTGCGATACTATAAGGATCGTGGGGTTGAAACCAAACATGTACTGTCACATGCATTAGGTGAGTGGCATCATTCATGACACATGGGAGGATCATAGCATATCTTGGGCTTGGAAGTTTGCTCTCAGAACTTGATCATCTGCGTTCCTTGCTCTTTTAGAAACTATATACTCACGTAACGTGATCGGGGAATATGAAACTTTGGACAAAGACTATTGCCATAAGAGTGTTCAGCTGGGCCGGAGAGATCAGAGAGGTTTCATGTAAAAGAAGCAGAGCCGGAAGGAAGACCGAAGGGGGGATCTAGTGTAGAACGAACAAGAGGGAGGTAACCAATTAACTCTAAATAATGTTGGAGAACAATTCGTACGCTTGATTGCAAAATGCATTTCATTTCCACACAAACAATGACACGCGCCCCTTATCCAGAGAATTAAGAAACTTAGCTAAACTATTAGAAGTGCATGGACGAACCTGGATTCAGGACACGCCGACTCGCTAAACTATCTGCTTCTTTATTTGTTGTCTGTCCTTTGAAGATAAATTTGCAGTTAAAATGGTCTGCTCGTAGCTAAATTTGCAAACACAAATGCTCTCATAGTTGCTGTTTGTGCCTTCCATGTATGTCATGGATTTTTTGGGATACAGAGCACGATTTCATACTTGGCCTACCATTTTCCAAAAAAATTAGTTTCTGCATTCTGAACAGTTGATAAGGCACACCTTGATACATTCACAAACGAACTTGTTTCCTCAAGCCTCGGTAAAATAACAAAAAATCGTCAAATTATTCAAGAAAAAGCAAAAGGACCAAACATATTTGCAGCTCAATTTGCGCCCTCAGCAATGCTGAGAAAAAAAATGGAAAACATGCACCTGCTCATCACAAGCTAGAACACTTAGCAACAGATTAACATCCCAGACCTCTCAGGTGAATAGTGGCCACAACAGAGATAAATCCGATCAAAAGCTCTTTCAGGTTCAAACTCACCAAATCTCATCTCAGTAGCCAAACCACAGTGCAAAATCTTAAGAAAGCTAACAAACCATAATCCAGCAGCATTACATAATCCAGGAAACTCGTCCTCAAGTGCCACAAGTAATAAGCTAGAAGAAAAGAGGGACACGCTATCAAAGCTTTGATCATCTAGCTGCTCCGGCGATCAGATCAGACGATGGCATTCGCGGCGCTGGCGATCCTGGGCCATAGGTCGGCGCACTCCTTCCCGATCGGTCCAGTGATGGTAGAACCTGCGGGATAGAAGAATGTGTCAATGAATCAGGCTGTTCCAACAGCTATGACATGTGCTAAAAAGTGTTGATAGCTTGTGCTGATATGCTTTAGTTAGCTAATCTTTGAATAAAGATAGCTTGTATACTACAGGTTCAATGGCTGTCACTTTCAACTGCCTGTTATAAAGATTTGATGCAACATGTTGGAAAAAATTGAATCTGCAATATGATATAATGGATACCTTTCATTTCTCCCTTGGGGTTCACAATGACTCCAGCGTTGTCTGCAAATATGACATAAACCAAACATTAGATGTGAATTTTGACAAAATCAGCCACTACTATCCAACAACACTTGCACAGAAGAAGGTGGACATATCAGAATGCAGACACAGAAAGTCTCAAGACACTGTTAAGACTAAACAATTCACACATGAAAGAGGATAAAATGCAGATATAGAAGATTGCACTATGATGTTCTTCTGGCTAATTTGCATATGTGATTCATTGTGACAAATGACCACAGCGAAAAGGTGATAACTCTTCATCTGATAATAATGAAGCAATCCCATAGAATGTGTGCATGATACATTAAATTTTCTTTCAAACCAGAACTCAACTTCTCTAGTAAGGACATGCAAGTGTAATTTTGCAGATATTCCAGACAACATTGTTCATCAAGTGGTTTCAAAAAATTAAACGGTGGCAACTAACAGCTTAACATACAACAAATTCACTAGGCATATTAAACAACAACAGTACAAGATTGCAGAATGACTAAAGTCATCATAAGAACTTAGCAGTACCTTCAATGTACATGAAGACACCGTCCTTTCGGCGCCATGGCTTGCACTGCCTGACGATGACAGCCGACATGACCTTCTTCCTGAGGTCAGGCTTTCGCTTCTTGACAGTGGTCATAACCATGTCACCAACGCAGGCGGAAGGAAGCCTATTGAGGCGCCCCTTGATTCCCTTCAAGGAGATGATGTAGAGGTTCTTGGCACCAGTGTTGTCGGCGCAGTTGACAGTGGCTGCCACCGGCAGACCCAGCAACATCTTGAACTTGTTTCCAGCGGAACCTCCGTGCCCTACAGTTCAAGAACAAGCATACGCAAACAGACAGTTAGACAAAAGGATCACATGTCTACAGTACATTAAACCAATAATCTAGAGATGCATGACAGCAACACACCAGTGCCATGATTCATGAAAAAAAACCTCATAGCTAAGTAAGGATTATAACTATATACTGAGCCAAGATAAATACAATACAAGCATCTGAAAAACAATTGCCCAATAGATGCAACTGCATGGATGCTTCATTCAAGATCTAATACAATAACTCTACAAGCCTGAAAGAAATCTTACCTATTTGCACTGAAAAGAACCTTTAACAGACTAAAACTCGAAAGAAAAACACTAATTTACCATACGTGGGAGCAATTCTCGACTCAGTGAAGCTACAGTAAGCGGCATCTAACAAAGATGGGAGCATATATTTTACAAATAGACGCTCATTTCCAATTCCTATGAAGGCCCTAAACTGGATCTAAACACTGGCAAAGCCACGGCACACTCCCAAAATTACTACAGCCGAGCAAAACTCCATCCACAAAGCATCATCTACACCACATCTAACCACCGTCGAAACCTAAACCACCACCGAATTCACCAAGAACAACCACAAATCGCGACTACCATCAGCAAGAAAACACGCGTCCGGCCTCCAAATCGAGGCACAACAACGCGCGATCCAACCAGGACTACGCTACGAGACTACCACGAGGAGGCCAAGCAAGATCATGCTTCATGCCGGGAAGAAATGGAGGAGGAAGGGAGGCAGATTTTTCGCCGTACCTCGCTTCGACATCTCGGAAGAGGGGGTTGAACCCGGCAGCGGCGGCGGAGGGGGAGGATGGGAGGCAAACTAAGTATTGGTCAAGCAAACTCGGTGGGAACGACTGAACAAACTAGGTGAGACCGAAATTGTTGCAATAGGTCACGAGAATTTGCAAGCCCATCTCGGTGAGACCGAGATCCCATCGGTGAGACCGAACTGATTAGGGTTTGGCAGTGGCTGTATAAGATGAACTCGGTGGTGCCGGATATATCAAATCGGTGGGGCCGAGTTTGACTTTTAGGTTTAGGACATATGTGGATATGAGAAAGTGGTTGAGGGCTTTGGAGCATGTCACTAAACACTTTGAGTAAGCAAGCCATTAAGCAACACCCCTTTTTAATAGTATTGGCTTTCTTATGGACTCAATGTGATCTTGGATCAGTAAAAGTAAAAATGCAGAGTCTTGAGCTTTTGCCAATGTTCGCCCTTAGCATCTTGAAGTGTTTCCACATCTTCTTGTCCATGTCCATGCCACTCCAATGTTAAACTTATCTGAAATATACTAGATAGAAACATTAGTCCAACAAGAGATATGTTGACATGAATTACCAAAATCACCCAGGAAGCACTTGTGCTTTCAATCTCCCCCTTTTTGGTAATTGATGACAACATACATCAAAGCTTTTAGATAAAGATATAAGGAAATAGTAAGTAAAGCTTTGGCAATACATGCAACATGCATTAGCTCCCCCTGCATGTATGCAATCATGTGATGATGGATCATAAGAATATGAGAATGCATAAACATGACAGACCAAGCAATGAGTTACATGTTTCTTGGCTATATGCATCAGAGCAAATGATATGGATGCTGGAAATATACCTTTCAAGTTCATGAATTTTTCTTGCAAACAATATGTACCACAGCAAGAGGTCTTCATGCACATGAGTGTGATGCATATACTTACCTTGTGGTCTTGAACTAGCTTTGAAGGAGATGTACCTGGGTAAACAAGGTTAGATAACACAAGAACATCTACTAGACAGAGCAAGAACAGGAGATCACAAGAATACCAAGATTTGGGATGACATGTTGAGAGTGAGTACTAGGTACTCTATTTAGTTATAGACATGTCCCCAAGAATAAAGATATCCAATAAATTCCAAAGATTTTCTTTCCTTAGGACTGAGCTCTCTCCCCCTGAATCTGACATAGATAATGAGAGAAGATGGGGAAAGAAAATAACCAGAGCAAGATAGAATTATACCATATATTATCATGCTATCATGTCTTTCCCCTCTTGAAGACATGAGACAACTTTCCTCTTAAGAATGAAAACGTTAGGAGTGCATTCTCCCTTATGTGATAAGCTTTGATGTGCTCTCTCTCCCCCTTTGACATCAATTTCCAAGAAGGGACTTCTGGAGCATGTGTCAAGTAGGTTTTTTGGGATACAAGAGCTGTTTTTTTGGATACATGAGCTGATCGAGTTGCTCTGAGTTGGAGTGATAGTGCTTTTTATTTCCCAAACACATGAGCTAAGTTTTTTTGAGGATAGTTACTCTTAGTCGAGCGTTTTTCTTTAGTGATACGGAACTGTTGGAGTTGCTCTTACCCGAGAGGATACGAAAATTGTTGGTATAGCTCTTAGCTCTTTTGGTTGTTTAGGGGGGGGGGTATTGATCAAATGGCACTTGAAGTGCGATACTATAAGGATCGTGGGGTTGAAACCAAACATGTACTGTCACATGCATTAGGTGAGTGGCATCATTCATGACACATGGGAGGATCATAGCATATCTTGGGCTTGGAAGTTTGCTCTCAGAACTTGATCATCTGCGTTCCTTGCTCTTTTAGAAACTATATACTCACGTAACGTGATCGGGGAATATGAAACTTTGGACAAAGACTATTGCCATAAGAGTGTTCAGCTGGGCCGGAGAGATCAGAGAGGTTTCATGTAAAAGAAGCAGAGCCGGAAGGAAGACTGAAGGGGGGATCTAGTGTAGAACGAACAAGAGGGAGGTAACCAATTAACTCTAAATAATGTTGGAGAACAATTCGTACGCTTGATTGCAAAATGCATTTCATTTCCACACAAACAATGACACGCGCCCCTTATCCAGAGAATTAAAAAACTTAGCTAAACTATTAGAAGTGCATGGATGAACCCGGATTCAGGACACGCCGACTCGCTAAACTATCTGCTTCTTTATTTGTTGTCTGTCCTTTGAAGATAAATTTGCAGTTAAAATGGTCTGCTCGTAGCTAAATTTGCAAACACAAATGCTCTCATAGTTGCTGTTTGTGCCTTCCATGTATGTCATGGATTTTTTGGGATACAGAGCACGATTTCATACTTGGCCTACCATTTTCCAAAAAAATTAGTTTCTGCATTCTGAACAGTTGATAAGGCACACCTTGATACATTCACAAACGAACTTGTTTCCTCAAGCCTCGGTAAAATAACAAAAAATCGTCAAATTATTCAAGAAAAAGCAAAAGGACCAAACATATTTGCAGCTCAATTTGCCCCCTCAGCAATGCTGAGAAAAAAATGGCAAACATGCACCTGCTCATCACAAGCTAGCACACTTAGCAACAGATTAACATCCCAGACCTCTCAGGTGAATAGTGGCCACAACAGAGATAAATCCGATCAAAAGCTCTTTCAGGTTCAAACTCACCAAATCTCATCTCAGTAGCCAAACCACAGTGCAAAATCTTAAGAAAGCTAACAAACCATAATCCAGCAGCATTACATAATCCAGGAAACTCGTCCTCAAGTGCCACAAGTAATAAGCTAGAAGAAAAGAGGGACACGCTATCAAAGCTTTGATCATCTAGCTGCTCCGGCGATCAGATCAGACGATGGCGTTCGCGGCGCTGGCGATCCTGGGCCATAGGTCGGCGCACTCCTTCCCGATCGGTCCAGTGATGGCAGAACCTGCGGGATAGAAGAATGTGTCAATGAATCAGGCTGTTCCAACAGCTATGACATGTGCTAAAAAGTGTTGATAGCTTGTGCTGATATGCTTTAGTTAGCTAATCTTTGAATAAAGATAGCTTGTATACTACAGGTTCAATGGCTGTCACTTTCAACTGCCTGTTATAAAGATTTGATGCAACATGTTGGAAAAAATTGAATCTGCAATATGATATAATGGATACCTTTCATTTCTCCCTTGGGGTTCACAATGACTCCAGCGTTGTCTGCAAATATGACATAAACCAAACATTAGATGTGAATTTTGACAAAATCAGCCACTACTATCCAACAACACTTGCACAGAAGAAGGTGGACATATCAGAATGCAGACACAGAAAGTCTCAAGACACTGTTAAGACTAAACAATTCACACATGAAAGAGGATAAAATGCAGATATAGAAGATTGCACTATGATGTTCTTCTGGCTAATTTGCATATGTGATTCATTGTGACAAATGACCACAGCGAAAAGGTGATAACTCTTCATCTGATAATAATGAAGCAATCCCATAGAATGTGTGCATGATACATTAAATTTTCTTTCAAACCAGAACTCAACTTCTCTAGTAAGGACATGCAAGTGTAATTTTGCAGATATTCCAGACAACATTGTTCATCAAGTGGTTTCAAAAAATTAAACGGTGGCAACTAACAGCTTAACATACAACAAATTCACTAGGCATATTAAACAACAACAGTACAAGATTGCAGAATGACTAAAGTCATCATAAGAACTTAGCAGTACCTTCAATGTACATGAAGACACCGTCCTTTCGGCGCCATGTCTTGCACTGCCTGACGATGACAGCCGACATGACCTTCTTCCTGAGGTCAGGCTTTCGCTTCTTGACAGTGGTCATAACCATGTCACCAACGCAGGCGGAAGGAAGCCTATTGAGGCGCCCCTTGATTCCCTTCACGGAGATGATGTAGAGGTTCTTGGCACCAGTGTTGTCGGCGCAGTTGACAGTGGCTGCCACCGGCAGACCCAGCGACATCCTGAACTTGTTTCCAGCGGAACCTCCGCGCTCCGCAGTTCAAGAACAAGCATACACAAATAGACAGTTAGACAAAAGGATCACATGTCTACAGTACATTAAACCAATAATCTAGAGATGCATGACAGCCACACACCAGTGCCATGATTCATGAAAAAAAAACCTCATAGCTAAGTAAGGATTATAACTATATACTGAGCCAAGATAAATACAATACAAGCATCTGAAAAACAATTGCCCAATAGATGCAACTGCATGGATGCTTCATTCAAGATCTAATACAATAACTCTACAGGCCTGAAAGAAATCTTACCTATTTGCACTGAAAAGAACCTTTAACAGACTAAAACTCGAGAGGAAAACACTAATTTACCATACGTGGGAGCAATTCTCGACTTAGTGAAGCTACAGTAAGCGGCATCTAACAAAGATGGGAGCATATATTTTACAAACAGACGCTCATTTCCAATTCCTACGAAGGCCCTAAACTGGATCTAAACACTGGCAAAGCCACGGCACACTCCCAAAATCACTACAGCCGAGCAGAACTCCATCCGCAAAGCATCATCTACACCACATCTAACCACCGTCGAAACCTAAACCACCACCGAATTCACCAAGAACAGCCACAAATCGCGACTACCAGCAGCAAGAAAACACGCGTCCGGCCTCCAAATCGAGGCACAACAACGCGCGATCCAACCAGGACTACACTACGAGACTACCACGAGGAGGCCAAGCAAGATCATGCTTCATGCCGGGAAGAAATGGAGGAGGAAGGGGGGGAGATTTTTCGCCGTACCTCGCTTCGACATCTCGGAAGAGGGGGTTGAACCCGGCAGCGGCGGCGGAGGGGGAGGATGGGAGGCAAACTAAGTATTGGTCAAGCAAACTCGGTGGGACCGACTGAACAAACTAGGTGAGACCGAAATTGTTGCAATAGGTCACGAGAATTTGCAAGCCCATCTCGATGAGACCGAGATCCCATTAGTGAGACCGAACTGATTAGGGTTTGGCAGTGGCTGTATAAGATGAACTCGG